ATACGTTGTACATTGTTAATAACATCAAGTACGCAGTGTGATGATAAATTGTATGCATAAATCACAAACATACGGCGGGTTTGGTAGATTTGCATGCAAGCTTTGTGTCTAAAAATAAGGCAAAGAACGCTTCGTCAAAACGTTCACTTTTTATTTACAAACGACGAAGTAACACTTTTAGATAAGATGATTAAATGTTTATTTATTACGCAAACGGTGGCAGCCTTTGTGCGTTTATAGTGTCGAGCAGTATTACCTCATATTACGTCATAATTTTGATTTGGCTCAAATTAAAATTTTCTTTAGAAACGCTTGAAAATTAAAACGTTCCGTCAAACCTACGCTTTGGTAGTTTTAGAGAAAGCTGACATCAATTTTGTCGTTCATTTCTCTTCCCAAAGTTGATGACGCTAGACTTCAACTTCACCCACGTAGGTTACGTAGAAATTATGAAATTCCCCGAGACGTTACGTCGTTAAACTGGCGACAGACAATAATAAGTAACGACAGTTTTTCGTTTGCAAATTATTTTTAGATCTCGCAGAAAGACTTCCCTGAATACACAATGTCCCCGTTATTACACAGTAATCTCTCCGTGTCGCCTTAATGAATAATGCACCGTTTTTCCTCTCGTTATTTCCTGTAACGTACTCTTCACTAGAGCACTTTAAGGAAATAAAAAGTAACTGAATTTTATTAATTTCCGCCAGGTTCGTTGATCTTTTAATGTTTTAAATTTTTCCAAATTTATAGTGACCCACCCACTCTCCCCTTAGCACTACGCAATTGATTATTGTTTTATTACGTCGGTCTTAAGTGCGGTGTCTGAACAAAATGGCACCGTTTACTCTGTCACATGATGTGAAATATTTACGGCACGCAGACTGCAGTTGTCACGCGTTAACGTTTCTATCAGAATTAGCAAAGACGCATATGACATTATTTATGAATTGGAAACTATCGTTGATAACCTATACGGAACGCACGACATCGTATATTTCGGTGTCGAGGTGTCGTGGATGATTAAAATACGAGGTTGTGGGTTGTACTATTTCGAACAGTATTTTGCTTCGAATTTTCTATTAGCCGTTATATTTCATTGTACATTAACTACGTTCGCATTAACCACGAAAAATACCATAATTTATTACTACCAATTACGTCGTTTTCAACAAAAATGTAAGCTGGTATTATCTTGGAGGTTATTGTACGTCCTTGTTCGTTCTCGAGTTCTCCCCGTGTCTTCGTGACGGATACTACAAGCAATCAATCTCACATCCAAGTCGCTGGACGTGTTTTACTTGAAATTTGCGTAATCCGTTACCAGTGTGTCAAAAAAAAATCAATATAAAAATATATACTTTTTTGTGCATCGATCGATGCATTTTTGTATTCTCTTTAAAAATGTATCAGGGGTCCGATATCAAAAATCAATTGGTTTGGAACTTACGATCCTTGTTCCGAATTCCCATACACGCGACACGCTGTGCAACGGTCGAAGCCATCGCTACTTTGATGGAATGACGTCACAGGGGAATAGCAAACCGCAATTGGTCGATCGGGCGCAAGGAGAAACGTCACGATCGTCGGGGTGGGGATAGAAGCGCGCGACACAGGTTGAAGTGGTGGGGGTTCGGCGTGGAGCTAGCTCGTCTGCGTGAGGAGAGCAAAGCTGTCTCGGCGCTGTGCTATTTTCATCGGCGCGCTACCTCTGGCCCAGATTCGATGCGACCGTCACGACGTGAACGTGATAACCAGGTTGTCCGCGAGTTCGCTGGACCACCCGGCTCCGTCCACCTTCCTCTACGATTATCCGTAATTTCAAAATAACTTAGCCGCTCGTTGACCACACCGGTATCGTACGAGCGTAGACAATTTCAAGACGCAGTGTTGCACCGCTAACAATCGCTGGAAGTTTACGAAACAATTCCCTCCGTAGTCCGTGTATATTTATATGATCTCTCACGGAATCTCGAAGCTGTGAAATCTCGTACCGTACGATCGACAGCAGTGTGCTCGAGTGCGCGTAAGATGTGACTCCCGGCGTGCAGTTGCGTTCGCCTCGCGTCGTTTGCCGAACATCACGAACGTGTGAAGCCCACCAGTTCACGTCTCTCAATTATTTCGTGCTTTTGCATCCTGTTCGCGCACGAAATCCTGTATCGCGGCTGCCTGGAGGTCGGCGGTTCTCATCAAATGATTTTAAGGTACGTCTCGCGGTTACCGACGCTCGTTTCTCGCTACGCGTCGGCGTCACGTGGCCGAATTTTCCCCGATTATACACTCGATGGCTCATTCATGCTTCGCGGGCGAACAGGTCGCACGTATTCCTTGGCATTGCCGGTCTTATTGGCACGAGCATTTGGCAATGAACGATCGTTAAACAACTCGTGTAAATGAATGTTTCAACATAGAGCAATTTGTCACGCGACTTTTTTCCGTTCTGACGTTCCGCGGTTAACGAGCGTTCAGAGGTTAAGTCTGTCTGTTGCAACTTCAGTCGGTACGTAAGCGGCGGTACGATCGAAAAATACGAAGCATCGACGAATTGATAGTTTGCCGGCGTAAGTATTGTCTGTCGTTTCTCTTCTCATTGTTGTGGTTAAGTTGAAAAAAAAAAACAAAATAGACACACGACGCACGCATTCCTCGCCCCCTCTCTGCCCCCCCCCCCAGTTCCTTTCTCAACGACTGTCTTGACATTCTCCCGTGCATTCCATCGTTTTAGAAGCATTTGTATCGTCGCGATGCTTGCGTGATCGAACCATCGATTCTTCTCTCTCGTAAGCGGTCCGCGCGTTATTGCTAAATGTAGAATCAGCACGTGGGAGTATGCGTGGCCGCAACATTATCCGCTCCTCTATTTATCGGTCTGAGTTACGCATTGGTGCAGTCCTGGAGAATTAATGGCCATTCGCATCCTTGCTATTTTTATCGTCGTTTCTCTCCGGACACATTGAACTTACGCATGACCCGTAACGAAACGGCAGTTAGACAAATTATAATTTTACTTACACTTTCAATGTACAACTGCACGGTATTATGATTCGATATACAAATTAGGCGTTGTTTTATAATAAAAGGAAACAACATATCCATCCAGTCGTAATAATACAACGTATCTGGTACTTTACATAAATTATCGTTCCTTGGAACCGATATCATTCCGAGCTTAGAATAACATCCATCACTAAATTACCTGAGGAAGCCTTGGAGTCTAAAAGAATTATAACACGTATGGGAACACAATACTTGTACAAAGTCTGGAGTAGTGTACAATAAAGTTTCATTTAATTTACTATTTACACTTTATGACGATCAAAGCCGTCACTACTTTGTTGGAATGACGTCACAAGCGAATAGCGAACCACAATTGGTCGATGGGGCGCGAAGAGAAACGTCACGGTCGGCGAGGTAGGGGAAGAAGCGCGCGCGACACAGGTTGAAGTGGTGGGGGTTCGGCGTGGCGCGGAGCGGGCTCGTCCGCGTGAGGAGGACAAAGGTGTCTCGGCGCTGTGCTATTTCCATCGGCGCGCTACCGCTGGCCCAGATTCGATGCGACCGTCACGACGTAAACGTGATAACCAAGTTGTCCGCGAGTTCGCCGGACCTCCCGGTTCGTCCACCTTCATCTACGATCATCTGTAACTTCAAAATAGTGTTTGTTCCACCATTGAAACTTGGGTGGAAGTTTTCGAAACAATTACCTCGTAATCCGTCTATTTATATGACCTCTCACGGAATCTTGGGCCAGTGAAATCTCGTCCTGTACGATCAACCACGAGTGTGCACAAGTGCGCGTAAGATGTGACTCCCCGGCGTGCAGTTGTGTTCTCCTCGCGTCGTTTGCCGAACTTCACGACCGTGTGAAGCGAGTTCCATACCGTTCCACATTATTTTCGTGCCTTTGCATCCTGCGTGCCGGGAATCGAGGGCTTGTTCACGAAATATCCCCTATCGCGGCTGTCTTGGTGGTCGCTTCTCATCAAATGACCTTAAGGTACGTCTTGCGGTTACGACGCTTTTTTTTCCACGGGTCGATGTGTCACGTGGTCGAATTTTCACCGATCATACACTCGATAGCCCATTCATGCTTCACGGACGAACAGGTCGCATGTATTCCTTGGCATTGCCGGTCTTATTGGCGCGAACATTTGGCAAGGAACGATTCTTAAACAACTCGTGTAAATGAAAACGTATTGCGACACGGTGGCAATTTGTCACACGACTTTTTTCTCGTTCTGGCGTTCCGTGGCTAACGAGCTTTTGTAGGTTAAGTCAGCCTGTTGCAACTTCAGTCGGTACGCAAGTGGCATTACGATACGAAAAATACGAAACATCGGCGAACGAGCAGTTGAAATTGCATCGCGAATGCGAAACGTTCGAAACGGGACGCATTCCTCGCCCCCTTCCCTGTCCCTAGTTCCTTTCTCAACGACTGTCTTGACATTCTCTCGTGTATCCCATCGTTCTACAAGCGTTCGTATCGTCTCGAGGGTTGCGTGATCGAACCATCGATTCTTCTCTCTGCTAGAGAGTTAATGGCCATTCGCGTTCTTGTTATTTTTATCGTCGTTTCGCTCCGGACACATTGAACTTAGACGTGACCCGTAACGAAACAGCAGTTAGGCAAATGTGAACGCACCGTATCCTTCGTAATTATCTGATCGAGTCTACGCGTCGCCAAGTGCAAATGAATATGATTTTTATGCCTTAACCTAAGTAATTAGTAACGCGAAGCGATCATGGATGATAAAGAACATACGATAAATAGCTCGTATAGGAGTAAATTGAAGTAATCGCGCGGCGATTAACAAAACGCGTGTAGTTTCAAGCATGAAGCGACAGGTATTAAATTCGAATTGACTCGATGTGTTCAGTGGTTCTCAATTTATTCTCAGAGACCGTCCACATCTTTGCAGAGTCGCTCTAACCCACATGTTGCATCATCGAACGAATGTGATTTTGTATGACTCACAGGCTGAGTCAACGGTCTCGATTGCGTTACAACTCGATCATGTGATATAATTAAGGGTCGATGCGTTTGGATGTTTAGGAAGTACCGTTTGATATTAATGAAATGATTGCTAGGTATCATAGTCAATCGTAACTTGTGGAGATTCGCCAATGTTGATCGCGTCGTTGAAGATGACGTAAAATTCAATTACATTAAGAACTGTTCGCGCAGAGCTGCGTTTGGTACACCGAGACACTCTGTATGGAAACTGATTACCTTGAAACGCAACAGCGAGCACACCTGCGGAGGTTACGTGGAAATATAATCGTCTTAGAAATCGAGTTCCGACCGGGTGGCCTTGACGCGCGCCAGAACTTCTGAATTTCAGCTCGATGGTTATTTTAGAGCAGAACCAGACACACGTTTCTAATTGACATCCCTAATGAGTTTTTTTTTTTTTATATATTGTGTTTCCAAACGTCATGGTACGCGGCTGGTACGTGTCAGTAGGTCACGGTGGGAGTCGACGGACCGACGGTTATATTCAGTGATTTCAAAAGAGCTTTTGACATGGTTGACATTGTGCTTCTGAATCGACGTAATGGTGATTGTTTCGCTCGATAACATCGCTATTTAAGCCGCCAGTAAGGTACGAGAAAAAATTCTATTTTTCTTTCTTACGTACGAACAATTTTATTTTGATTATTATAAGTCTTTAAAAAATTTAAGAACCCTAGTAAGACAAATTAAATTTATTGACGTTATTTACTTTATCAGCGATTTTTTATTGCGTTTAATTGTATGAAGCAAGATAAGATATTTTTACGAAAATATGAACGCGAAAGAAATCGTGTAAAATGTTTCCTACGCAATGTTTAATTTCCGTCTTCTTTTGCGCAGTGGATCGAGTGCTTGTTAATTTCAAGACAAGTACGTTGTTTGTTTCGCCGTTGCTAACGGCTCGTGTACACCGCGAACAAAATTTTTACGCTGATCCAGACCTAATCGTGAAGTCGTTCGACGCTAAAGCGTTCGTAAATAGATGTCGGATGGGCAGAAAAACACAGAGAGGGAACGCGCGAGATTTTCAATCATTTTTTTTACCACGCTATACGTCATTCCATCATCACGCGATGACACGTGGCTCGCCGCGTGATCTTTGGTGCTTCACAAGTCTCCGTGAAAATATTTTCACTCGACCCGATCGTTGTAGCTGTCCGAGTTGACGAGACGTGCGAGCATATTAATATGGATCAATGTTTTCCAATGCTCGGAGCGTAAAAGAAAAATTTGTTTACGTAAAAAGCTATGAATAACTCCAAATATTTCTTTCTACTAACACGTTAATATTTTCTTTGCGTTGTCTTCAAAACCTACTACACAGGGTATTCGGCCACCCCTGGGAAAAATTTTAATGGTAGATTCTAGAGGCCACAATAAGACGAAAGTCAAGAATATCAATTTCTTCACTGAAGCTTCGTTAAAAAGTTATTAAAAAATTAAATTAAAAAATTTCAAATCATTCTGAAAAAATTATTTTTAATTGCGTGGGTAAATTACAATCATTTTTGGTGAGTACCACATACCCTCGAATTTTTACCTAGTTTCGAGAAAAAAATTGGGGTAGATGTGAAATGTTTCGGCGAAATTAAACATTTTCAAATCGTTATAAAAAAAATTTTTCTAGTTGCAGGGGTCGATTACAATCATTTTTGCTGAATACACATAACCTCGAAATCCTACGCACTTTCGCGCAAAAAAACGCAAAAAAAAAATTTTGAGTAGGTAGACAAATTTTTCGACAAAATTAAAAAATTTCAAATCATTCTGGAAAAATTATTTTCGGTTGCGGGGGTCAATTGCAATCATTTTTGGTCATTATACATACTCCCGAAATCCTAGGCACTTTCGAGAAAAAAAATCGGGTAGGTGCAGAAATTTTTCGACAAAAAAAATTTCAAATCGTTCTGGAAAAATTATTTTCGGTTGCGGGGGTCAATTACAATCATTTTTGATGAATACACACACCCCTAAAATCCTGCGCGTTTACGAGAAAAAAATTCAGTACGGGCGGAACTTTAAACGTCAATAACTTTCTGACGAAGACTCCATTAACAAATTGGTATTCTTGATTTACGTTCTATTTTGGCCTCCAGAATCTCCCATTGTAATTTTTCCCAGAAAAATAGCCAAGAACTGGTTCTCCATGTGAAAATGGTTCTAATATTCATGCTTCGCGTAAAACAATAAAGCGACCAGATTAGAAAGCAAATTAAGTGATATTCGTTTGACTGTATTTTCTACAATTTGGCACCGAACAAAGATCGAAATAATGTCTTGCGCGCGGGGCAGCAACGTCGCTTTAAAGTTAACTCTTTCGTCGCCGCCATTTCTTCGAATCGGTTCAACGTCATTGCTACCGCGAACTGGTTCGAGACAGTTTCTACTCCCTTCTTCTGTCGTACGATGACATAATTTCTTTAGGATAGGACTGGAACAAACGTGCTACATGCTCGATTGAAATACTCGCAATTGTATAATCGTTTCCAACTACGTGTTCGCAGGGAGAAGTTGATCACGAATGTTATTGATATAACCGAGAATTATAGGATTTGAATCGTTAATTCCATTGGTTTCACCGACAATGCAATACTGATTTTGAGAACTAATTCTGATAGAATAACGACGATAAGATAAACGTCAGATAAGGGGCAGTGTTTCGCGAAACTTGCAAGAATTTTTTTTTTAAATATTTCTGAAGAAACGAGTACATCGATAAAATTATAGTTAAAGAAAGTATCAATTTCAATTTGATGTGACCATATTTAGGATTATAAATAAAATTATTAATAAGAGACTCTATGAATTTCCTTTCGAAAAGTTTACGAAGCTTGTCAGTTAGTATACTTTCTGCAACGGAAAATGTACCTCGAATTTCGAAGCGAGCTTTTCCAATATTTTCCTAAACTTTATCTCAGCTTCAACGGGTACCGTATATTTCATAATACATATATTTCCTCTCGAATACCTAGAAAATCCTTGCAAACCCTCTTTATGCGTCACAAAAGTAGGTATATGTTTCAAGCATGTTCCTTTGAACGTTCTTAAGCGCGGAGTAAAATTTAAGATGGCGATTCCAAACTTACAAACGTTACATTTACTGTCACATTTACTGTTTTACTTCAAAGAATTTATATTCCGAAGACGAAAGCCCATGTTCCACCGATTGATATGTTTGGTGGAACAAAATACTTTAATTCCTTCATGAGTTTCCTTTTTAAAGAAAAATTGTTCTGTTCAGAGCGAAATGTTAACATTTCCACTGTCACGTTCTAGAAAAATCAATTCTCGAATTAAGACGTCGAGGTAAATAAATTTGGATAGTACATATATGTGAATCTTAATAATGTTACGAAAAAAAGTACCGAAATAAATTGTAGGTTATGTAACTTACTATGGTCTAAACTGAAAATTTTACTTTGATAGAATATTGTACGGTTTTGATCTGGCAGCGAACGTGTTAACAGTGAGTGCGTAAAATTAAAAATTAGGATAATATTCGTCGCCTCGTGAATTTCGAAGTAGAATTCGCGGAAGGAATAAAAACGGTCGAGGAACGTTTGTTTGTCGCAATGTCATTTAAAATAGCGAATTCAGTGAACCGTGACAAAGGCACAGCACAGTCGAGCGTCGTGCGGTCTATTTATACAGGGTGTCCCGTAAATAGTGTAAGAACCGGAAAGGGGGGGTAGCTGAGACGATTCTGAACAACAATTTTCTTTGCAAAAATGTCGGATGGAGCTTCGTTTTTGAATTATTAACGAAAAACACTGACCAATCACGGCGCTCGCCCTCCGCGCGCTCAGGGCCGTCTGACCTCGGAGAGCCACCGCGCCGGGTAGGTAGCAAGATGCGCGTTGAAGATACATCGAGGAACGAATACAAATAATTAAAAATACTACCACTACAACTGTTACTTAATTCGTTAATTACTACGTAATTAGTACGTAAATTACTAAATCGAATTTATTAATTATTTGTATTCGCTGTTTCCGAGAAGAAGGAACAAAATCTCGGTATTTTTAGGAAATTGACCCTTCGCAACCCGAGTGACGCTTCTCGGCAGAGTGTTTTAAAATTAAAATAAAAATTATTATCAGAAAATTAAAATAAATGCGGTAAGAACCATTTGTAACCGTTTGTTATTAAAAACTGTACTGAAAAAGCAGACTGGATTTCTGCGTACCGAAACATTCCTCGAATGCAAAGGGTTAATAGAGAAATAATTGAAATTCGACTTACCCATTTATCTGCAAATTGACCTACTGCGCTGACAATAGAGCCCGGCCAATGCACCGCTGTCGGTCACAGCAAGGTCAAAAACCCCAACGAAAATCAGCTGATGGGACGGCCCGATCGCTGTACCTGCTTCTCACCCCGAAAAAACTTCACAGCACGGTCACTAACACTTTTCACTTTCACATACCGATGTGTTCCGTTGCACCCTTCTTCGATTGTTGCTCCTTCCTGGGTTGATAACGGTGCCTGGATGTTGCTCCCTCCTGAATTGTTACTCCTTCCTGAATGGTTGTTGCTTCCTGAATTGTTGCTCCTTCCAGGATTGTTGCTTCTTCGATCCTTGCTCCCTTCAGGATTGTTGTTCCTTTTCGCTGGGATAATGGGCGCGATACGTGCGGGCGGCTTTCTTCGCGTTCCCCTTGGAATCCGCGAAAACGAAGAACGAACGATAATCCTCTGCGATTACGTGTTCCATCGCGTGCGTCCGCTTCTGTTCAGAAACGCGTAGGTTCTGTGAAAAATTTTGACTGACAAATTGCATTTCCCTCCCCGAAAAAGTTCCAGGTAAGGCAACCCATTGTCGCGCGATTCGGAGTTACCTGCGATCGACGAACGTGCAGACCATGTTTGCCGCAAATGTTTGCTGCTAAACCGTACGGTCGACTCTTCTAATAGAATTTTTAAGATTCACCGTGAATATTTTCTGTAGATCGGAAGGGCGCGATGGCGGAGGGAGCAGTTCAGTAAACACGTGCTTTACGAATAAATATAGCGCATTCCGAACGACAGGATCATATGCGACGCACGACGCACCCGAAACACGCGTTTCCCGGAAAACGACGCTGGCTCTGTTGTTTTCAGATGGGTGTAACTTTATCAGAGGGTCGAGCAAAGTTATACCGAGATTGGGATCGTAAAACACGAGAGAAATTGATTGCAACGATCGATCGATCAACTTCTACAAACACGTTCTCGATATTTCATTTTAAGTGCCACGAAATAGAAATAGACGAAATGGGAGAATGTTAAAAAATGTCTAATTTTCGCGTCCTCTTGGTAATAAAAAATTCGTGAAAATTGATAGAGAGGATTTACAATTCGAAAGATAGAAAGATGTTAAAAATTGTCTAATTTTCACGTTGTCTTGGTAATAAAAAATTCGTGAAAATTGATAGAGGATTTGCACAGTTCTAAAGAAGCCGATATCGAGCCTTGATACTAATCTGATGGTTGCGTCAGTAGTCTTGTATCTATTCAATTTTTAAACGATCGTATCTCCTTCGAACTTATCTAGGGGAATCACGGAAGAACAGAATATCTAAACTAATATTTTACCTCCGTTTATAGGAT